AGGGCGCGCCCCAGGGGGACCATACTCCCAAAGAGCACTCAAAGACATACGGCTGCTCGACACCGCATCAAGACTAAGTTTCGAGCGAAATGTGCTTCCGCGAGCAATCGTTTATCAGGCTCATCTGGAAGAGATTTCGAGCAGCCCGGCGGAGATTATCACGGTGGTTCTTAACGGTTACCCCGCAGTCCTTTGAGCGAAAGCATCGGAGACGCAAAATACGAGGGCTGCTGCTTGCATCGTCCGTGCAGCGTCTGTGATCTGTTAGTGTTGAAGGTTCTGCATTTGTTCCTCGGGCGCTGCTCTCAGGAAAACTGCGATGCAGCCACATGTCTGGGCTTCCCGACGGGAAAGAGTGAAGGCACCAAGTGAAGGCACCAACACACAGAGTAGCCACAAAGAGTAGCCACGCGGAGTAGCCACACAGAGTAGCCACACAGAGTAGCCACAAAGAGTAGCCACACAGAGTAGCCACAAAGAGTAGCCACGCGGAGTAGCCACACAGAGTAGCCACACAGAGTAGCCACACAGAGTAGCCACACAGAGTAGCCACGCAGAGTAGCCACGCAGAGTAGCCACGCAGAGTAGGTCGGCGCTAAGATGTCGTCCCCAAAGGGCTGGGCTTCATATCGCGCTTCCACTCCTGTGCCTGTTCACGGGTGACCTGCTTTTGGCTAAACCGAGGCATCTATGAGCTCATGTACTGCCTTTTTCAGTCCTCATAGTGAGCAAGAAGCTCATCTGGTGACGGTTGAAAAAAGTGGCCACTCATGCTTATCAGCAGCTCTCTTCTTTAAGAAAGGCTTGTTTGAGGCTTGACTTGGAAACTACGCGATGAAAACAAGTAGGCAGATGCTTTGACGAATCAGATTTCAGTTCTTTCCGTCCCGAACACCGCTTGAATGTCAGTTTCAGTGAGCTTCTGAATCAGTTGTGGTTATCGAAGTTTAACTTCGATGCGTCTCGTAAGGTGCTGCAGTCTGCAAGCTGTTTTCAGTCTCGTATTCCGAAGAGGAAGCACGAAAGCACTCGTTAGTGACTCAGGCAGAAGGGAGCAAGGCTTCGCGCACCAGAAGTGCTATGCCATCGACGAGGGAACATTCACCACCATCCGGAGAAAAAGAGCGGAAGTCTCGATTATTTATACTTATTGGTCTGCTTTTGAGATATTCCATTGAGTGATCGAAGATTTTTATTGATGCAATATTCGATTTCTAAGGTTTTGGCGTTCGGCTTAAAACCCATTGACAAGAAGGCGGCAAACAGCAAGCTGGAGGGCCGCTATGCTGCAATCCTACGACGTGATTTCGCTGATGTGCCGGGGTGGCTCCCGCCCACTATGACCTGTATACTTTGGGCGAGGGTCTCAACTTCGACGACTGAGTCGAGGCGGCCCGATGCTTCCGGGAGCAGGAAGGGCTGGCTGCCGGCCTACGTTATCCGTTTTTGGGATACAGGTTGGTCCCCAGTTATCATAGGCCTTCGCTTATCGCCTTTGCCCTTGCCTTTACCTTTGTCCTTGCCGGGCTGCTTGCCACCTTTGCCTTGATCTTTGCCTTTGCCACCCTTAGGCTTGCCTGCATGGGGAGTTTGGGAGTGCTGACCCTTCTTACCGCCTTTGCCCTTGCCTTTGTCCTTGCCTGGCGGTTTGCCACCTTTGCCTTTCTGCCTGCCCCACAGAACGGCATCAATCTCCATCGGCGCTGCCTCATCATGCCTCTGAGTGGCCTCCCGGACCGTCCCAAAGTAAGAAACAGACTGCCACTTGAAATGCTGACGCTCAATCCTCAGGCTTGCCTCTCGCACCTGACTGTAAGTAGCATCCTCAGGCAAGCTGGCATATATCTGATTCTTTGTGTTTGCAGCCATGCATCGAAGGAGAAGTGCAGTTGTCACGCTACCTTGAAGGGTTTCCGAAGCTGACTGTTCATAGGAAGTGAAAACTCGCTCCAAATCAAGGATCTGCGGAAGCAAGGCCTCGGAGGGCTTGAACGAAGGCACCTGTGTGATCGCCGTCAAGATGCCCAAGCTGCGCCCCTGCGAGCGCGGTGCAAAGAGGCCCATCAACTGACGCAAAGCTTCCAAACCGTTTCCAGTCTCGGTTTGCCGCACAACCATGTAGCCTCTGCCACGGATGAGGGCAGCTAAAAGCGAATACAGCTGATGCGACCTGGCTTGCTGTGCAATAGTGCCCTGGCCCTTTGCTATCACTGAACCAGGGTTCGCCTCCAAAGCCTCAAGGTCGGGCCCATAGCCCGGATCAAGAGCTGAAAGGTATTGCTGAAAACTCCAAAACCAACCTGGCCAAGATGTGTGCTCATGCTCTCTGGTGCTCGCTGCGAAGACCTCAGGCTTCGGCAACACACGCAGCATGTCCTTGCCAGTCAAGGTTGGCGGTCCGTCCCGAGTGGACGTTGCCGCCGCTGCCGCCGCTGATGCTGCATCTGATGCTGCACGGGTTGCTTCAGCCAACTGTTCAAACAATGCATTCAGCTGGGCAGGGCCTGACACTATCTGACCTTGGGAAGGTGAGGCAGCTGGGCTTGCAAGGAAGGGATTACCGGGCATCGGCTGGGGAAGCTGTGGGCCTGCAGCCGCTTCAAGCTCTGGCAAACCATCATCTATGTCATCCACAGGCACATGTGCAGCCTGTGCACCTTGCTGAGCCATGGCACTACAGCCTGGCTTGAGAGCCGGCGTCTGCAGGCTACCCGCCGCGCTTAACGCCTAAAGTTGCACAATCAAAGACTTCAGTTCCTGAACGGATCTCGCAATGCAAAACCCAGAAACCAAAGACGTGTCGTGATGTTGTTGCTTGTCACTACCTCTCTGTGTTGGGGATTGGGTCCAGTCCCCGAACCACGGCACCAGGAGATTCCAGAAATCCTGGAAGTACCGCGGCTCCGCTACCATACGAACTTTTCCACTATCCTCGAGCAACAAAGCCTTCAGTCGTAACGAAATCAGCAAGTGCATAACTAAAGGAGCGAAAGTAAAATTGCATGATAAATCAGTGTAAAAACCATGCTCACGAATACCGGAAAATCGTTCGTAGATGTACTAAAACGTCGCATGGAGTCACGAATTCGTAGCAACTGCTACAGTTTCAGCTACTCCGTACCCCACTACTCCGCGCGACTCTGCTGGGCCGCTGAGACGTTTTGACTTGCTTCAAACTAAACCAGCTCTGACTAATCTGATTTACTAAAACGTCGCATGGAGTAACGAATTCGTAGCAACTGCCACAGTTTCAGCTACTCCACACCCCACTACTCCGCGCGACTCTGCTGGGCCGCTGAGATGTTTTGACTTGCTTCAAACTATACCAGCTCTTTCCAGTCTGATTTACTAAAACGTCGCATGGAGTAACGAATTCATAGCAACTGCTACAGTTTCAGCTACTCCGGCCCCACTACTCCGCGCGACTCTGTCAGAAGGTACGGCAAATGCCTCGCAAATACTAGCTCTTTCACCACATCCTAAAACACAGCTCTCGCCATTCGGAGTTACTAAAACGTCGCACGGAGTAAGGAATTCGTAGCAACTGCTACAGTTTCAGCTACTCCGTACTCCACTACTCCGCACGACTCTGTTAGGAGATGCGGCAAATTCCTCGCAAAGTCTAGCTCTTTCACCACATCCTAAAACACTGCATGAAGCAGGGACGGACGGCGGAGTAAGCCTTCCCTTGCAAAAACTGGGATTCAAGACTTATCCCGTTTTAAATAGATACTACGATTGAACAGGGGGTAGAGGAAGACGGATGCTAGGAGTCTAGGGGGGTGGGGGGGAGTTGCTGCCGCATCCATGCAATGAGCGCCAAACGAGTCGCTTCCAAGCGCAAAAATGCAACGAATGAACCTCGACCTGTTTGAAAGTCCCACTACGACTTCAGATGCGGTTTTTGGTGACGCTTAGTAACAAAAGTTTCTGGCACGATACTCTGTAGCGGCGCACGCCATACGCCGGACGAATGACTGCGATCTCCAAATGCCAAAAAGCAAGCGTTGCTTTTCCGAACCACTCCAGAGAGCGTACCGAAAACTGACTTGCCGAACTCTCTTCTGGAAGCTTAAGCCCTGAGTTCGTCAATTCTCGCAAGTCGAACCTTCTCGAGATAACTCTATACTTTAGATCTTAACCAAATATCAGTTGGATGAGTCCATCGGAAACACTCCTACGACTGGGTCTTGGCGGGCTGGGTGATATGAAGTGGGCTTGGGGTGGCGGCTGTCGTCTTCCCGCATAGTTTTGCCGAACAACGTCTTCTCATGGACGTTGTTCTGACAGAGCTTGTTCGATTTGACGGACCCATTTTTGAGACCGAATTTTTTTTGGCGTGGGCGGACCTCGTAGACAGCGCAGCATGCTGCGCTCGGTCCCAGTAAGAACTACAAAAAGCAACAATAAACGAAGAAGACTAAACAAATACATGTACAAAGTGAAACAACATGCGGGCAAAGTCGTTCAGCATTAATTAAGTGCACGCGGCCGCACGGTTCACTGGCCCTGCTCCCCGTAAAGTCTGGGTCGCGCAATGGCAAACATGAGAATTGGCCTCGTAGAAGCATTGTTTGCGGCCAGGATGCCGGCCAACGTGTCAACGGCAAGCTTGAGCAGCCAACCTAGCCGAGCCATGCATTCCGAGCGTTGATGCACGGTTGGCCACACTAATCACTAATCCAACTGGAAGTCAGATCTCAGAACATTCTCACGCTGTCCATCCAATGGCACAGAAGCTTCATGGCCGAATGGTCAGGGCGCAGTCACTCCCAGAAAAAGAGTGCAAACCGATGGGAGTATGGTATGTCGCTTGCGCTCTGGCAAGGCTGCATAGTGGCTGCCCGCCAGTGTAGCGGTGCATTACAGCCGCATGGTCGAATGACCATAGCAACGCTGCAGAGGTAACGTGTATCTGGCATGCTCCAGGTCCAGTAGCACGCAGCGGTTTCATTTAGAGGTGCCGCCAACAGGCTGCATCCTCCATGTGTTCATCATTGATGGCGGTCCACCACTGTAGGGATGGCCGCCGCCACATGGTCGCACGGCCAGAGCCCGTCCCAGGAATGGGCCCAAGGCCTACGGTAGCAAACGTACATGTGCATGGGCCACTCGCCGCCAGAAGGCAGCATCCTCCATATGCTCGGCTGTGGCTAAGGGCACTATTCCTCAGAGTGTTGGCGCACCAAAGGTCAGGCGAATGTGCATCAGGTTGTCAACAATCCGACTCCGTCGGAGGGTGCACCAGCCACCGTGGGGCCGTCGGCGTCCCAGGCAGCTTCCCAGGCCACCGCAGCAGTGCGTCGCATTGAGATTGATTTGAGTGTGGTTGGCAGTGACACAGGCAGTGGAGGCATTCACATGATCACACAGGCGATGTCCGCGCTGAGACCGGACCAGGTGCTGCTCGAGCCATACCCGAGCGATGAGGTGCTACTCGAGCCGAACCCGAGTGAGGCGATGTCCGCGCCCAGACCGGACCAGGTGCTGCTCGAGCCCTACCCGAGCAAGGCGACGTCCGCGCCCAAACCGGACTTGGTGCCACTCGAGCCTTTCCCGAGTGAATTCATTGATCTTGTGCATGCCACACTCCCTGCCATGACCGTGCCTGATCCTCTTGTGCGCAACTTTGAGCAAGCTGCCCCAATGTATGACATGAGCTACAGCGACAGTGATGGGGAATGGACGTTTGCGAGTGGATCCTTGAGTGTTGTGACTTTTGCCCCAGAGCATCAGGTGTGTGCCGTCCATCAGGATGTTGAGATCATTCTTGACAGTGGGGCCGATCACTCGTGCCTTCCTTCGGCCTTTGGTTCCACTGGGACCGCAGCGCCGCCATTGCAGGCGACGTTCCGTGATGCACAGGGGAATGTGATTTCTCCTACGTCGGTGCGCAATGCAAAGCTTGACTTGGGACCCTTGACCATAACGGAAACCTGGTTGATAGGCCCCGTGACTACCCCCTTGTTGAGCTTAGGCAAGCTTTACCGCCAAGGGTTTACGGTTGGCCGTGTGAACAATGAGCTAAAGCTTTTCCGTGAGGGAGATGAGGACTATGGGGTCCCCGTGTTCATGAAGCACAACTCCTTGTGTGTCAGGGGTAGCATCAGAATCATGCAGAGCGATGCACCGCAGGCGGGGCAGGCGGGGCATCCGCCAGCTAGTCGCAGTGAACGTCATGCACCACAATCGCAAACCAGTTCCGGTGAACTCCATGCACCACAATTGCAGACCAGTCCGTGTGAACTTCATGCACCACAATCGCAGACCAGTCCCTGTGTACTTCATGCACCACAATCGCAGTCCAGCTCACCTCAGGGCGATTTTCACGTGAATGCATTGACTGTGGCGTTGCGTGGCCCTTGGTTGTCGCTCAAGGCGCCGTTTGTGCAGATTGACACAGGTCTGGTGGCGAACAAGTGCACAAGCCTGTGCTACGTTGATTGCACATTGGCTTTCCCTAGCCTGCCGATTGCTTTCAGGACCACATTGCACAACAGCCCGCATGGCTGGACGTTGCATACGCTGAATGAGGATCTGTCAACTTTGGATGATTTTGAGGCTAGGTTCGAGGCTGCATTTCCAAGGCCCAAGATGTATGAGACCATTACGATTGGTTCCACGTACCGGCTTGATGTTCGCCAGTTGTTCCCCGAGCACTCTGATCACCCACTTGTGCCGGTGCCAGTGCCAGAGGAGTCAGATGATGATCCGTCTCTCGATGCTGCCATGGATGTGGATGTCAACGTTGATGCAGGTGGCATTATCTTGGAAGCCAACGGAGAAGCGGCAGATGAGGGCGAGTCTCCCGGTGAAGCGGGTAACGCTCCCGGAAGTGAAGCGGTTAACGCCACGCTCCCGGCGAGAAGCCTGTTGTCGTTGATGGCATTGAGTTGACCCTTGATTGCACCCTCGCCACGTTGCGGGCCGCAGCACAAAGTCTTGGGATAGGCAAGTCGGGTGGTAAGGCGACGGTTCTTAAGAGGATCAAGGAATTTCTTGCGCGGAACGATTTTCTGTGGGCCAACCTCCCGGCTGATGTGCAACTGCCTCGTGAACAGGCGCCAGTGCGAGAGCCATTACAGGATGAAGTGCGCAAGCATTCCCTGACGCACATGCCGTTCCAAGCATGGTGCGCTGAGTGTGTTCAGCATCGTGCCCGTTCCGACAGACATGAGAGGCACCCTGTTGGCGACCGTGAGCATGCGACAATTTGTTTTGATTTTGCTTACTCGAGTCGGCCTGAGACCCCTGAACAGAAGCTCGTGTGCTTAGTTGCGTCTTGCAATTTTACCGGTGCAAATCAAGCTTGGCCTGTCCCTGCCAAGGGCGGCAATCTGCAGCTCAGGTACATGACTTCAGAGCTTGCGAGGTGGATCGCGACTTTAGGCCACAGCGAGGTCACGCTTCGTAGTGTCGTAGTGACCCAGAGCCGGTGTGTTTGTCGTTGCAAAAGCTTGCGCAAGCCCAGCGTCTTCGACTTGGATTGCGGACCCACCTTGAGCAGAGTGAGCCTGATGATCATGCGGCCAATGCGGCCGAACCTGCGGTCGAGACCCTTCGACAGCTGACCAACACGTTGCTTTCTGAGTTCGAGTCCCGTGCAGGTGTCAAGGTGGCATCGTTTGATGCAATGCACGCGTGGGCATGGCGGCATGCAAGCTTCATTCAGCAAAGGTTCACCAGATCGCAAGGCCAGACTCCGTTCGAGCTGGCATGTGGGCGACCCTACCAGGGCAAGCTTGTGTGCATTGGTGAAGCCGTGTATGGAAGAGTGAAAAGTGCTGTGAAAGGGCAGCCCCGTTGGGGCATAGGTTTGTGGTTGGGAAAACTTGGGTGTAGCGACGGCCACATAGTCTTCACTGCTTCGGGACATTTTCTTGCATGCAGGTCGATTCGTCGCTTACCGCAGACTTACTTGAGGAGTGCTGATTTTGCAAAGCGCCTGCGTGATCATCCCTATTCCCAGGCTGCTTTTCTTGCGGGCCAAGTTGGACAGTGCAGGCCGCAGAAATCACGTGATGCACAACAAGCGCCCCAAGAGCCACAGCCAGATGAGAATGCCCCGGCCGGTGCGGATCCATTTCCGTATCCTGGCTATGTTCTTCCTGACAGTGCACCGCTGAGTGAACTTGTGCCACCGCCAGCCATCAAAAGTGATTTTGTGCCAGAGCCACCGACGCCCATGCAGGAGGACACTGGACCTGTTACGCCATTGCCGGCAGCACCTTCCGATGCAGAGGTTGTTAGCTCGCCTCTGGCTGTAGTGCCGGACGCTGAGGAGAAAGCCGAGGCGCCAAATGCTGATCGTGCCACGGGGTCAACCGATCCTGCTCCTTCGCCTGAGCCAGCGGCCGTGCGTGTGCCCACCAGGGCTGCTGAGCCGAGTGCAAACGAGCCGCGGAAACGGCTTCGTCTTGATGCTGTGACGTTTGATGGAGTCGACATGTACCACAATCACGAGGACAATGTGAGGGTGAGATTTTAGAGGATTTTGATTATGCCGCAGAGGCCGATGGGGCCCAGGATGACACGCGGCCGGAGTCAAACATTCCTGAATGCTTCTTGGTCCCCTGGAGTGAACATGAGCCCGAGCTGAGCCCTGAGCAGCTTGCACATGTGGATGCAGTCGCAATGCAGTTTGAGGTTGATCGTCTCCTTGGGATCCCTGCTCTTGAGCGCTGTTCGCAGATCCTGCCAGAGCACAAGCGTTTGACCCGTTTTGTGGTAACATGGCGTTGCAAGACCATTTCAGGTTGCACATATTGGCTCAGACGAGCCAGGCTTGTGGCTCGTGATTTTGCATTTTTGTGCCCAGGCCGTACCGATTTGTTTTCCCCTGCATCGAATGCGCTGCAAAGCAAGATCATCCCATGTGTCTTCATTGACAACTACCATAAGGGTTGGCAGTTGGTATCATTAGATGTTACGGATGCTTACTTGAATTGCCCGCAGGCAGAGGACACATGCACAAGTGTCACGATCAATGGCGAACGCTTGTATTTCAAGCTTCTCAGGCTTCTTCCGGGCCAGCGGGAAGGGAGCCAAACATGGTTCTATCAGTTTACCGATGCCTCGAAAGTCGGAAGCCGCATCGAGTTGATGCAAGAGGTGCCATCGCTGTTCCGGTTCCAACCTGAGGATGGCAGAGGCGGGGGACTTGTGCACGTCGATGATTTACTCGGCACAGGCCCTGCAAGTGTGATCAAGTGCATGACCGATCATCTTGCAAGGGATTACAAAGTGACCGTGAATTTGATTTCGGTGCCGGGCCAGGAGGTTCATTTTCTTAAGAAGCGGCATTATCTTTTGTCGAGCACAGAGTTGCTGATTGAAGTGAGCCCGAAACACTTGGAAAAGTTGAAATCGCTTTGTGGCCATCCCGAGCACCGAAAATCACCTCTCCCGTCCGGGCGATTGCCCACGGAGCAGGAGGACGATGCACCATTGTCCCAGGACCAGGCATTCCGTTTTCGGTCAGCCGTTGGAGTGCTGCTATACTTGCAGTCAGATCTCCCGCACGCCGTGCGCAGCATTCGCCACTTGTCAGGTTTCATGTCGTCCCCGACCGTTGGGGCATGGGCAATCCTGCGGCATTTGGTCGGTTACTTGAGTGTCACTGAGGGGTACTGTGCATGCCTCACGGCCGGTGGCATCGGAAACGGCGTGCAAGTGCATCGCCCAGGGATCAACGTCATCGAGACGTTCAGTGATGCTGACTGGGGTGGATGCCGATCCACCCGACGCTCTGTTTCTTCATCCGTGATCCTTTGCAACAGCAAGTTCATCCATGCAGCGTCCAAAACGCAAAAGTCGGTCGCACTATCCAGTGCGGAATCTGAGTTTAGTGCTGCGGTGTCAGCCGCGATAGATGGGACCCTTGTTGCAAGCATGATGCGGTTTGTGTCTCCAGAGCCAACAACACCGCCCCTCTTGATGATAGACAATGCCGCTGCTCGCGCGATCCTACAACGCGCCGGGGTCGGGCGCGTGCGCCATCTTGACGTGAAGCTGCTGTGGACGCAACAAAGAGTTGCGGAAGGCCTGCTGGAGGTGCTACCGGCACCTACGCGTACAAACGTCGCAGACATTGGCACGAAGCTCCTTGGGGTGCAGCGCACAGAGTTCCTGCTTGGCTTGATTGGGTTTTGAGATTCCCGAAACGGTTATGCAAGGGTTGGTGATGCAATCTTGAACACAGAGCACAATGTCCAGGCCATTCGCAATGTGTGCAAGGATTTGTCAAAGATCGCAAAAGGTGATGCCACGGCCAACACCGCCCGCATCCTCAGTGTTATCTTGACTGCCATGCAGGCGACAGGAAGTTTGGGTGCGGAGGATGGCAATGATGCCAATGATGACGACGCGACTTTGAGCTTTCTTGATGCCATTCTTGAATCCTTAGTGCAGATCGTTGGCTATGCATCCGCGGTGTATGAAGCATACCCTTGAGAGTTTCGAAGCTTGCAAAAATACCATCCTGCAAAATTATTTTTTTTATGAAAACAATATGGAACAAATATGAAATGCAAATATGAAAAAAATATGGGTTGAAAATTGGATATGAAAACATTATGAAAACAATATGAAAACAATATGAAAAATATGAAACAAAATATGAAAAAATATGGTCGAAAATATGAAAAGTTGATGCGGTTATGCAAATAAGTATGAGAAATACGCTGTAAATACATAAAAAATATGAAAATTATATAAAAATATATTAGAAAATATATCAAAATCGTATGAAATCATATCAAAAAATGAACAAAAAGCTATGACACGATTGGAAGGACTGGCTGAAACAAGGTTAAAATAGCGAAAATTTACTGAAACAAAAGGAAAACATATGGGAAATATGACATATGAAAGTAAGTTGGTACAAATTACGACAGGTTGTGGGAATTGTGTCAAAATACGGAAAACTATTTTGGATTAAATAAGTTACATGCTCAAAGCAAATGCAACACGAACACCTTTTGAAACAAATTCCCAAATTTGAACAATTGAACAACGCTGCACATTTGGGGGAGAACGGCGGAACGGAGAGAATGAGAGAAAAAAGAAAAAGGCCGCGGCCCACATATTTGCCACACTGTGTGGCTCTTTCTACACATGCGACTTGTCAGGTATACACATATACGTGCATAGATATGGGCGCACAAAAAACGCAGATCTGTATAACTACAGAAATGTATCTGTGTGTACATAAAATTGAAAAGATACATTATTCATTATTCTTAGGTAGATACATTATTCATTATTCCTGTTTACACATGTATAGATAAATATACATACACATATAAATACATACGTCTACTTCTCGGCCTTTCCAATCATCAGGCATGCAACATTTACCACCGATTTAGCATGTCGCCATTGTTTGTTTGTTTGATTTATCTTTTTTGTATCATGCAGGTAGAGGTATCAGGTTCGAAACACATAGCACAGCATCATTGCTCTTGATCCTTTCGCACCTGCTCAACCTGCCGTCATGGATTGTTTGCTCAGCTTTTCATGCAACTGCTACATCGTGATCACGGCTCGAGTGTGATTTGATCCTGTGGGCTCTGGGCGGGACGCAGTTCTGCGGAACCATGGTTCGTCCAGTGGGAAGCTTGTTGCTGCTGTGGCTGTGGCTCATGCTTTTGTTTGCAAGTGCTGCGCCCAAGCAGGGCGACTCCTCAGAGACCACTGCTGACAGTGCGCCCGTGGTGGAACCGACAGAAGAGGAAGCCTTGCGAGCCTTAGCGGCCTTGGCGCCTGAGGTGCGTGTGCCCATGACGAATTTGCTCAACATCATGGAGCGAATGCTGCTTTCCTTTGCCCACCAAAGGGCTAGTGGACCTCTTGAGGGATGGGCTGAGATAGGGCGTGCTCTCGAAGGCCATCTTGACCGGGCTCGCGAGTATATGACCATGGAAGAGATCCGGACCATTGTTAGAGAGCGGTTGGCACGCCAACTCGATGATGAGCAGATGGAGATTGCTGCCGCGACGATGTATGCGCTCTGTGGACCACCGAACAATCCTCCTGCCCGCACAGGCGCTCTCAATGTGTTGCAAGTTTGATTGTATGTGAACCAACATTGGCCTCGGAAGGTTCACCCACTTCATCCCGAGACTGATGCAAGGCCATTCAAGGCGGGCCACAGCCAGATGCAAACATGGAGCAGTCGGTGCAGCCTTGCTCGGGTGATCGAGTTTTTCAGGTTCTGGCCCACTGGGATCATGTTCGATGTTGTGCCGACCTCAAGCATAGATTGGCATAGATTTTTGTTCTGATGCTTTATCTGGCCCCGCTCAGGTCTGCTGAACAGTCGCTGACTTCTGTGGCCCAGGAGGCCACCCAAGAGTTGCTTCTGCAGCATGTTGCGCTTATCCTTTCGTGTGGAATATGTGGAGTTCCTTTGTGATTGCATCCGTGGCTTCGAGATACACATGAAAACTGCAACCGCAAGCCGAATCCTGCCGGTGTCGAGGGAACGGTGGTGTAGCTGCGCCCGTCTTTTGCACAGGTGCCCCAAACAGTGGCAGATGACATCGGCGGCCGAAGGCTGAGCAATCGACAGGTGCCAAAAGTCTTGAGCAGATGCATCAACTGGCGATGTCACTGTTAACATGTTGTGCATGTCACACCGGTGTGCCGCTCTGCCTTTTTGTCACGTGAAGCCGATTCTCGCAGCACTCGTCAAAAGGGGGGAAGTGTCCATTTCGATCGCGAGTTTTCATATCAGTGCCGGGGGCTTGGCTATGTTCTTGACTTTTAAAAAGGCCGCGGCAGTTTGGATTGCCACCTCGCATCAGGATAGCGTGCTACTACTTCCTTCGAAAGAGGCTTCGGCAACCGATTCTCGCCATTCCAGACGGTGCGGCCACACTTTTGCACAGGTCGTCGCAGGGCTTATCACCACATCTCCTGCGTGGATCTCGGAGCCTCGGTGCCCCCAGATGTTGACTCCTCGCCACTTCAGGCCTTGTGGTGCTCTGCTGGCTGCTGGCTACACCTTTGCCAGGCAAGGGGGTCTCAACACGCTACAAATTGCACTACCTGAGCAGCAGTGCAGCAACACGGCAGAAAGCATCGCAACACCACCCATTGCAGAGTTCAACATTGAACATCCTATAGGTGCTATAGGTCGTATAGGTCCTAGGTCCTAGGTTGTACGTCGTGGGCATAGCCATAGGCCGGGAAGGCTAGGCAGCTAGTTCAGCTAGATTTCATGGGGCTTGAGCACATCGGATCACACCGTGAGCTGAGCCCGCCTTGAACTCCATCCGATTTGATGTTGCTTTTTTTGGCTGTGACAAATGTATCATATATCCTTACCTGCCAGGACGTGGCTTCTTCATCATCACCGGTTGCCCGAACCTTGCATTTCAGTTGTTGCTAGCCGCTAGCCGCTACCCGCTAGCCGCTGCTGGACTTGCAAGCCTGACGCCAGGCTTTACACTCTAGACCGTACAGTGTGCTCCTGAGATGTACGTGTTGGCAGTTGTACTTAGTGAGTGTATTTATGGTTTCGTGGATGACATAGGCCCATAGGCTGCTGCCTCGTCTCCGAAGCCACCGGCCTGGACCTTGGTGTCGGTGCTTCCTTACATACTCGCCCGATGGACTCCCGGTAGGTCGCTGGTATTGACTCTGATAGTCCTGGCGGTGCTGTGGACACATCCTTGGCTTTCGTGCTCGCGCCTTCAACTTGACATGTCATGGGCTTGCTTGGCCGGCTTGTTCTAGGTCGATATTTTGCTGTTCCTGGTCAAGTTGCTTCTGATCCTGGATTTGGTGAGGCCTGCGCTGGTCCTGTGGTTGTCGTTGCTTTTTACTTTTTCCAGATAGAAATTGAAAGTCATGTGCAGGAGCTGGGAAGAGTGTTGCCTGAACGGCTCCAGTCTCGGTTCTGAAGCCAGCTAGCTAGCTAGACTCCTTTGGTTCTCGATCCCAGCGCCGCTCTTATCGCAAGGTCATGGGCGATTTCTGGTTGTGGGAAGAATCGGCCGAGGTGGGGTACATGACGTGGGTATTATATGCTTGGAGAAGAGACCGCACGTCGCATCACAGGTCGGGTGGACGGCTCACCAACGAATGTGTTGAGACAAGTTGGCCGGTTAGCGCCGTGAAGGAGCAGCTTACAGTATGGATAGATTCGGATAGATTCGATAGATTCGGTAACAATACCGGTTTAAGAATGTAGGGCAGTGACAACTGATTAAGCTTTAAACTGGAGTCATCAAATCTCGTACATTGTCAGTCGTTATGTTATCATTTGTGCTCTGGCGCCCTGCAACATGTTTCACAACGATGTGTGCACGGGATTCTCGCTTTGTGAGCCAGAGATGAGGAAGCAGGGCATCTTGTTGTATGCGATAGATTCGATAGATTCGGTAACAATACCGGTTTAAGAATGTAGGGCAGTGACAACTGATTAAGCTTTAAACTGGAGTCATTAGCCCAAAATCTCGTACATTGTCAGTCGTTATGTTATCATTTGTGCTCTGGCGCCCTGCGACGTGTTTCACAACGGTGTGTGCACGGGATTTTCGCTTTGTGAGCCAGAGATGAGGAAGCAGGGCATCTTGTTGCAACGACGTGTTTCGGTTGAAATCGTTCAGTACTGCAGGACAGTTTGCAATGTTATCATGATTGAGGTGGAGAAATGCTCGTCATGCACCAGTTACTGCCCAGCTTAGTTTCTTTGGATTGCAGCTCGGAGGACCTCTAGTGAAGCTCGGCATTGCAATCTATTGTGAGATGCACATTTGTGACGATTGGTGGTTGTGGTCATGTCTCTAGCAGTCTAGCCAGTCTAGCCCCAGACTTCAGTGTATTCATGTGTTGTAGCTGTTTGTGTAGCTGTGCAGCAGTCTAGTGACAGTGTAGTGAGCGCTGCGCAAGAACACAACCTTGCTGTGGTTGTCCTCGAGACTTTACGGTGGTGCCCTCGTGTTGTCTCTGATACTGAGCCTAAGCAGTGATGACGACTCCAGGGACACCTGATGCCATGGATTGGCTGGGAAGCTGGGCAGCGGTAGCCGATGAGATTGTGCTCAGTCAAGCTTCCTCAGATGATATGGTGAGCCATCTAGGAGATGATGCCAATCCAGTGTGTGAGGAAGAGTCAGAGAGGTCTCCACCGGTTTGGTGGGCACGGCTGCTTTTTGAGATCACAGCCGAACTCCGGCTGCAAGTGCCGCAACCGAAAGAGGCTGTGACTTGCCTTTCAGCATGCAGTGGCGCTCTGCCTGAAGCTACGGTCTTCAAGGACTGGTCACACGGCACTATTGAACCACATAATACTGTAACCGTGTTGCAAGTCAGTCGTGATTGCGTTGCTGATGATTTGAGGCTTTGTGACAGATTGCGTTTGTGGAGCTTTCGGAAAATGTGTGCGTGGTGTGCAGGAGCTGGGAATTCCGTTTGGGATCTCGAGCGCATCCGAGCCAGTGGGGGCCTACAGGAGTTTCATCCTTGCGAACCATGCCAGCAGTGTCGAGCATCTTCATTCCTGCATGTCCGATCAAAGATGTGGCCTGCCGTGCACCCTCCATCCGGAGGGTGAGGGATGTCCTGTGCCAAGCTCCCCCACCTTCTGTTGCATGGGCACACCCTGTGATCCCTTCTCGAAGCAAAGGCCTAAACGCTATGTCAATGGCTCGGTCAAGGAACATGAGGACTACAGTGACTACAGGGTGACATTCAATGAAGCTTATGACTTCTTGCAGCGTTTTGAACCGGTTCTTGCTGTCATGGAGCAAGTCGACGGATTCGACACGGTATACAGCACTTCAGTGACCGAGACTCCGAAGCAGAGGCTCGTTGCACTTTGGGTTTGTTGGGCTAAAACGTCGGCTGCTGAGGCCAAGGTCCTAGGTTGCGAAGGTCTCAATCTTTGTTTGTGTAGTGGAGCCAGGTAGTGCGCTTCAGCATGCAACAATTTCAACCCCCATCAAAGCTTAGGCTTAGCCGGACCTAGCAGCTAGCACCAGCACGTGTCACTTTGCTCGCTGCCACGCTGACATCCTGGAGGTTCTGTCTCGGCTTGCAAACCTTGCACTTCCGGCATGGGGGCTACTACATCATCACCGTCAAGACGAATGCGAAGCTTTGGCTCACCATCAACCGGGAGAGGCACGCCCACATGCCCAGTAATAACAGTAGTATCTTAATGTGACTAATGTGGAGTTAAGTATAGAAATCGTCAGTGAGACGTGGGCAAGTGCATCCGTTTTTACTACTCATTCGGAGAATGGTCAGTGCAGCATGAAGTTGTTGTGCTATGTTGGTCGATTGCTTGCGGCGAGGTCGGCTAGGTATTTCATCCGAATGACTTGCAACAGCTAGCACCGGGTCTGAAGCCAGGAGATTCTATAGGAACAAAAGCCATAGTCATAGTCAGGGGAATGGGTCGGCTTCACTGTGTTTCTTCCAGGGCTTTGACTAAGTTTCCGGATTGTCCGGGTCAAGCTTCTCGAACGATGCTGCTTGGCTTGGAATGCAGGGGCTTGGCTCGCATTCTAGAGAGGAGCCTCACATGACAGTCACAGCCGCATCAAACATTCTCTTCGTGCATAAACTTGAGGCCCTTGACCTTGGGTCTATCAGTCTAGGACTCTAGGAGTCTAGCAGGGTGAGAATGCAATGCTATGTCATATATGCTTTGTCAATGGCCCAGACCCTTGCTAAGGCTAAGGTATGTCAGAAATTTGATTTCAGCCCGCTTTTGCGGTTTGCAGATGGGATCTTCGCAGGGCCAGCCGAAGTCTTGCTGGAACTGTCGATGAGCTGTTCGAGATTGAGTTGCTGTCATTTTTGTACCAATGGAGTCATGGATATCGGTTGCTAAAGAACTTGTTGGTGCCGATGCAGAACCGTCACAATCTGGAGGGTCAGAGCCATCACAGCCTGTGCTGCCAGCCAAAGGGCGTGGGAGGCCACCAGGAACCTTTGGCTCAGGTTTGTTGAGAAGAGCGGTTGCTGCTGCCAAAGAGAATGCCCTGTCAGCAGGGTCGGGACAGCAGAGGTGTGGCAATGCTGGGTCTGACATGGGCTGTTCCTCAGCTGATGTTGGCCATCAAAGCCTTCTTTTGAGCTCCAGATTGTATCCACCGACTCCGCTGCAAGACCTCATCATGCGGCAGGCAGTTGCTCAAAAGGAGCGTCTTGTGCAGCCCGACACCGTCAACCCTGTGGAGGCATTGCTTTTCCAGGGCCGGCGGTGCATTATGTCAGCAAAAGCTAGTCAACATCATGATGCGAACGATCTGAAGAGAACAGCTTCGGCTGTGGCAGAAGCAGCTTCAAGGCTATGGCAAGGACTGCTTGAGCATCTTGAACGGTTGCAGAAACAAGGCTGGAAGACGGTTTTTTCAATCAAAAGACGCTACGACGAGACACCCCTTGGAGTGCGAGTTTCAGAATCAGACTCCCAAGATTTCTCGAGCACGACCAATAACCCGGCCAAAGGAAGCCACAAGCGTGTAGGCAAAATCATGCAGTCAGAGATGCAGGTGTCTGCATTGCTGCAGCATCCAGGCCCGGTGCCAGACACTGACAATAGATCTGCGGCCGGTGGTATTGGCTCCGGACAGTTCCTGCAAATCGTGGGCAAAGTTCCGTGTTGGCTCCAATGTTTGAAGTCTACAACAGCTCCCCACATTGCGAAATCGCAGCAGCAGCTGTTGGCCAGTCTGAGGAATTTGAGGCCCATTGCAAACTTGTTCAAGATGAAACATTCTTTCGTAACATCTGACAGGTACACTGGTAACCTTGCGGCCGAAAGGCACTTGCAGTCCTTGGATCCAACATGGGGCCTCACTCATGTGTTTTGCCATGTGCATCAGTTGGCCAGCTGTGAGAAAGCACTAAGTGACTTGGTCGCAGGTCACCTTGGTGGTCTCGTGAGTTTGGGCATGTGTTCCCGACATGCAGGGGCCTTGAAGGATCTTCGAAAGGCTTTGATGGCAGTCTTTCGAGAGGACTTGTGTGTGAGGATTGGGCCTCCGCAAGGAGAAACATATCGCAAGGCCATCCACGACCTCTTCCTTCCACTTCACGATGACACTTGCACCGCTGCTGAGCGTGATGAGCAGAGCAAGAAGCATCAGGTTGCGTGGTTGACGCGGTGTCGCCGCCGACAGATCATCAATCATTTTTTGAATGGTGATCTCCAGTCCTCTCAAATCGTTCACTACGTGGACAGGCCGAGAGACAGAGCAACAGTCCTGCTCGAGATCGAAGAGCTTCTCGTCCCGGCAATGCTGCCCTCGCCCTGCCCAGTCTTGAACCGGTCCAAGTGGCTTGGGGCAGAGGCTGCATTCAGCTGGGCCGGTGTGCTTCTCAGTCATCACGACCTGCTGCCACGCATGATTCGCAAGTGGCGTCACATCTCAGACTCTGCAGTCTCAGACATGGCAGCCGAAGCGAGCGTGGCAGCAGGCATGGTGACTGGTCTTCAATGGGATGATTCCTGGGTTCGACTTGCTGGCCAAGAAGCTTCAAGGCACACCGGTCCTGCCGACTCTGGAGCAAGGCCACAACCCGAACACGAGCAAGATCAGGACGAAGAGTTCATGGCTCCGGTGGCCCGTGATCCGCTCACGGGAGATGTCGACTGGCAAGAGCACAACAAGGCGACGATTGGCAAAGCATGCGCCTGGACAGCGACCTCTCCAGCACATGCGTTTATCATCGCTAATGTGGTGTGGACCCCTGTCCTCAAGCTGATGCAAGAAACTCTTTTTTTGGGGAGTGAAAGTTGGGACAGAAAGCAACAGGTTGCTCTCGCAGACGGCCGAGAACGCTGTTTTCGGGTAGTGGAGCTCTTCCATGGCACGAGTCTGAACAAGTTTTGGGATGCCTTGGAGGACTTGTTCCAGAACGGCTCCCCAGCTGTTCCGGTTGGTGCTTGGAGCGAATCCATGCGGTGCCTCATGTTCCGACTTCTCAGCAGGGCAGGCGCTGCGGTGTCCCAGATCTTTGCAGCGCAACACAAGATGTCACCCTTCGTGCTCTTCGGTGCTCTGGCTGGCAAGTTGCAGGAGCTCAAATCTCTGCCTGTCTGCATGCGAGATGAGCTGACTAGCTTGATTCTGGAGAAGTTCCCGGAGGACGAGGACCTCTTGGGGAATGAGTGCCAGAATGTCCTGGCAGCGGCAGCTTCCCAGATTGACTCGGACATCGTCGGGTTGGAAGTCAGACATGCGTCGGTCAGAAGGGTGAGCATGCTGCGATCCTGCCAGACGTGGACCATGGACTTGGAATCTCTGGGTGCCGAATGGCTGTTGAGACAGCAGGTTATTCTGAGGGAGCCGAAGACTCAGAAGATCATGGTGCCATCGAAGAAGAGAAAGAAGGAGAAGAAGAAAAGAGTTTCCAAAGGTGGCCCATGGCGAGCTTATCTGCATCTGCACTGCAGGGGACAAAAGCTGGACACGGCAAAGATCAAGGAGGCTTCTGCTCAGTACCAACGAATCAAAGCCGCCGGTGGAGCTCCGTGGGATGAGCTTGTGAATTTGGGCTTGGTGATGCTCCTTGCTGGCCGTGCCGGCAAGAAGGCATTCAAACGAAAACCTTCGCTCAGGAGACCACTGTTTCGACTTCGCCAGTTCCAGCAGTCTGCTGAAGTGAAACGCTTGAAGGAACGGTTGGCCGAGCTGAATGCTGGAAGCAGGGCTACTACACAGTTGTGTAAGCAAGAGACTGCAAATCAGGAGCAACTTTTGAGTTCGTCGTCAGCTGCAGCTGAGCAGAAACTTGTGATGACCACCCCAGATCTTTCCAGAGAATCAATTTCCAGATCTGTGGTTGGGGGGGTTGCAGCGGCTAGGCACTTCGTGAGTGCCACTGGGACCCCGACAGATGCCAACAACGCTTTTTCTTGCTTCCCTGGCAGTCACCGTGTTCCTCCGGCTATGCAGTTTCTCGTGCCAGCAGATGTTGTTGCGCGTGTGACTCGGCTTTGCATTCAATCAAACGGCTCTGCTGAGTAGGGAGTAGTGACTAGTGAGTGGTGACTACTGACCTAGTGCTTAGTGCTCGTGGTGACTGCGTGTGGTGTCTTACTCATGGCTTTGTGAGGTAGTGACTTGCAGTGTCAGCAACTGTCGCTGTTATATCAGTATCCTGTAGTTACCACTGTAGTTTTCCATGAACATTATGTACCACTAAACTAAACTTCAGCGGTATGACGATCAATGGAATCTATGTCCTTGTCATAAAGTCATAAAACTCATAAAGTAGTCGTAAGTCCCACCCCACCAATCGGGCATGGGCTCCTGAAAGATGAGTTCCTGAAAACCTAGGTACATGAACAGCATGTGCTTACATTGACTAAAGGACGAGGAACACTGTTCGTATGTATCTTTGTTTACATTATCTGTGATTTGTTTATTCTTGAGAGCGCATCTTCGAAATTTGTGTGGATTGCAGCAGCATGTGCTTGCACTGCTATCGGCTAGGTGAAACCAACCCTGTAAGTCAGAGTGTTTAAGTTTTTTACGGTCCAGTGTGCTGCTCAGCACAGGAAGTCCTCAAGCCAATGGGTTTCTCAGGCAGGGGTCCTGGGTACGGCCTGCTGAGCTTGCTCGACGATGCTTGGTCAGCAAAACACCAACTTTTGGAATCTGACGAGGCAGTTAACGGCAGCTGTTCTCTCAGTCGATGCTGGCAACTGGGTTTTTGCCACTGCGGTGGGCCCGAAGGGGAACAAGGGTGCCAAGGCTATCAGGCATATCACTTTCATGCGAAATTTGCGAAGCTCTTGCGGCCCTACCTGTTTCCCCCTCGGTCCAAGTCCAAGCAGTCCAAGAAACAGCCGCGAACGAAAGCACGCCTTGCAATGATGAAGGGTTTCCTGGTGTTGCAGTTGCATGAGTCCCTGCCTGGCGTTGATGATGCTCAGCCCGTGCAAGACCTTCGACACTGGCTGGTTCGAGCAGAGGCGGTGGAGACCTTGTGTGAGCGTTTTGGTCCTTGGGCCCGAGTTGCTAGTGGATTGCCTGCCGAAGGTCAAGTTGGAAAGGCTCCGACTGCTTGGATGCATATTGGATATATGAACTTCAAAACCATGCTTTTTTCCGTGCTGCCTTTGGCCGCGACAGAGCCATCCAGAGAAGGATGCCGGGATCTAGACAGCAGATTTTGCTGCTGTCGACACAGCACAGGATTCTGGGTCATGCGGGATTTGTTTCCGAGTAGTGAGTAGCATCAGCCTTGAGAAGGTAAGCGTAATCCTACCCACTCGCAGTCGTAGCCGTTTGGTTTTCGTCGATCATTATTCATTATTCAGTCCTAGGACCTAGGACCTAGGAGTATTCATACTCATACTCCTTCCCATAGCCAAGGACAGCTGGCAGGTGAAGATGAGCATCAACCACGTCCTGTGAAATTGAATGTGGAGTCTCCCCTGACGTTTCGCCGCTGTTTGGAACACTTCAGTGAACAGCTCGATTTGCGGAAAGTCTACCATGCGACATTCTGGCTTTTGCAATCAGACCCTGAGCCTTGTTTGACCTCGCGTGAAATGGCACCACGGCATGTCGAGGTGGCCAAATACAGCTTTATTCCAACCATGCAGGTCTGGAAAGGGCAAGATCGAGAGGCACAGGATCGATTGGGTGAGGCCAGGCGTAAAGAGAAGCAGGAAGGCTTCGACACAAGCACCATCCAACAGGTTGCGATTCCGGCCAAAGAAACCAAAAACAGGTTCCAGCAGAGTTCCTGATCCTGTCAGCGGCTCGGATGCTGCCCCTGCAGCAGCAGTTCCTGATCAAGGCGAGGAGTCTCCGGATGAGGACTTTGCGCACGAGCTTGCTGCGGCTGCAGTGCCACAGCAGCACCCAGTGGAAATGGCGGAGGGTGATGAGGACTCTGAGCCCTGCGAGATTTCGGAGGCCGAGGATGATGTGAACGAACAACTTGAGGAAGAGTTTCTCCTTCAGGAGCAGCAGCAGCAGCATCAGCCGGACGAAGAGAAGCAGGAGGGCACACAACCATGGTTGCGTTGAGCAGCATTTTCCGCTCCACATGTGAACCCAGTGTCGTTGTTGAACGCATTCTTAGCAGTAGCTCTGTAGCTCGACTCATGGACTTCAGCATGAAGTGAAGTGACAGTTTGGACTGTTTGGACACCTGTCGGAAGCTGATGGTCACTGGTCACTGGTGACCGGTGCCCTTGGTTTCTCTGTCATGGCTTGTTTTGGGAACCTCATATCGGATCGTCATAAACCAGAAGTACTAAGTGCTCAGTGTGTGGTTCGGTCATTTGTGTTCATAAGTCCGACTTTCCTGCAGCATTCATTTCTTTATGCCCGAATGTAAATTCTAGACCCGAGGCAGGACCCAGGAAGCGAGGGAAGTTCTGAAACACATTCACAGGTTCCAACCAGTCCCGCAAACATTTCAGGCACACTTGTTGCCCCGGACAAAGTTGGGATGTCGTGATCCTGGTTTCTAGTGACTCTACTGATAGTGCCGTTCAATTTACTTATGCATCAGCTTGTGATGTCTCTCACACTGCCCATGTTCAAGTGTGCCTTGCATGTGTTGCTTCTTCTGCAGGAGCCAGCCAGCTCCTCGCGGCCTGCTGGTTCCGATGCTCGTCCCGCTGCTGCAGGAGCAGATGCCGAACCAGACGACACAGCAGACGACGTTCCCCCAGCTGGCAGGCGACTGGGAGGTCCAAAGGTCGCACCAGATGTGATCGCGATCCAAGATTATGGAGAGATCCATTTTTATGCAAAGAACTCTGTGCTTCAAGCTTTTTGCAAGAGACATGGTGGAGCTGGAACGGGTGTTGACTGCCGAAAATCCCGAACGGTTCGAGCTGCGGGCTTGCCAGGCCGTAGTGGTCAGGGCCGGCCAATCGGATTACTTTGTGCGTGGCTCTTTGATCATGAGAATCATGATTGTGTCAGCGACACTAAGCGCAGCCGCACATATGTGCACCCGTTGGAGCAACGTTTGTCTGCAAGGGCTCGGTTTAATCAACTACCAGGTGCAGAGCTGTTCAGCTCCCATGAGCGCCCTCGCGCAGAGGGTGAGAGTGAGGAGCCTTTGTCTATCCCGTAGGCCCGAACTCAGGTCGATGTAGCGCAGTGCCGTGCAGTGCTAATGTATGCTGCTAAAAAGTTAAGGCCTCCAGTTATTCTCCAACGCTTTTGGGTTGCGATAATGATATTCTAAGAACCCTCGACCATACCTGGCTTTTGTGTTCCGAACATCCTAACTGAGCCCTAAAATGAAGAGCTCACAACCATGACCACTTGGGTTGCTGCTAGACCTGGTAGATTCCGGTACCCGGTAGATCGGGAGATGATAGCTGCTAGCTGGTCGGATCTGGTTCCAGGGTCAACTTCGGGGACTTTGGCTCCTCCTCTGCCGGTCTTTCGCTGATGTCGCTTCTCAATCTGCTGCTGCTCAAAAAAAGCAGAACCTGGCCAGGGCAGAACCGTAAGTCCTAACCGACTCCCTGGACCTGAGGCCGGAATAAAACTTTCCAGAAAATCATTGTTGTTGTTTGTGATTGTGTCATTGTCTCCTCCGGATGGTGCCCTCAAACCCTGGCCCTAGCCAGAACCCACGAAACAGAACTTTGTTCCATTCCTCCTGGGACATCAAGGCTGTGACTACAGCTCATAGTCATGTCATAGCTGCTGCTAGAGATATTGCTAGTGGCCAAACAGCAAGACTTCCCTGAGTCATGTAGTCACCCAAGCGCACCTTTGCCCCAATCCGATTTGATGTGTGTCTTGGGGCTCCCAAACCAAACATCTTCCCCTGCCCTAGAACAGCCCCACACGTTCCCAGCGTCTCCAAGCTGTCCTGAAACACCACTCCAATTCCACCGGAGCCTTGCAGGCTCTAAACTCTAAACCCAAGCCTAGACCATTGGCCCCAACATTCGGAGCATAAACCCTGCAATTGGCCAGGATCTACATGGTGCTCTTCCGCAAGGACAAGTACCGGCCGGAGGAGTGCGTGGACTTCGAGAGTTTGGTTCAGGCTGGCCCCTGTGTAGTCACCAGTTCAATCTCAGATCGTTTGCTCCAGGGCTTTTCAAGAATGGTTTTTCTTCACTTTCAGAATCAGATACCCGGTTTCCTGCGGCTCCATATGGGGCAAAATGACGATTCGAGCACAGGCGCGGGTTGTGGTTGGAAAAGCATCCTCGGAGATTATTGTTTGGGTAAACAGGGTTCATTAGTAGGTGAAGCAGTTTGTTTATGCATTGTAGCTGCAGCTTGAATTCAGATCGTTCTTCCGAACTGATCCCATACTTATTTGGCAGGCCATAAAACACTGTTGGCTTTAGGGAATTGGGACAACACAAACCTTAGAAAACTTGCCCAGGACTTCACGGAACGGTTGGCTGCCAAGCAGCCCGTGAGCACCGAAGATTTGCTTTTGAGCAAATTCCATGATCTATACAAAGCCGAAATGCAGGAGGAGCCTTGTCATGATTCCGGCTGTGTTGATTGCACTCGTGTGCTGTGGGGTCGTTTGGTCACCGGCATGCTGTATACAAACCCGAACCCAATGCACACCGCCAAAAACATTCCATTTGCTTTTTGGCGTGATTACTGTTATGCTATTCGCTGCTGCTATTCAATACTACTACTACTACTACTACTACTACTACTACTACTACTACTACTACTACTACTACTACTACTACTACGACTATTGCTCTGGTTTCTATTACTTCTACTACGACTAGCGCCACTGTTACTATCACATATCACGATCAAGACCAACTGTGGACTGCTACCACTTGTATTGTCTGCTGCTCTCAGTGTTGTTCGGGCCTCCGGGTGGGCCACGGTGCTTGGGCAGAGCGGGCTTAGCGGGTGGAGTCGGGTGGAGGGGGCCAGACACACACACACACACAGGCAGGGCCCAGGCAGGACCCAGTAAGCCGCACGGGGAAGGGGGCCCAGGCAGGGCCGGGAGGCAGGGTCGGACCCAGCAGTGGACACCGGATCGAAAATCATATTTCGGGTCATATTTGGGTCATATTTCGGCTCCATTGGCACTAAATAAGCCCTAAATAGTCCCATATTAGGAATGTAAGCGAAAATATACAAAAATAGAGGAAAAATATGGAAAAATATGGAAAGAAATATGGAAAAATATGGAAAAATATGGAGAAAAATATGACTGGAAATATGGTTTCTGGCTGGCTTCCCTTTCGGAATATGGAAAAAATATGATTTTCCTTGCCCTCCCCACCTGCCCCCCACACCTGACCCCCCCACCTGGCCCCCCACCTCCCACCCTCCTCCCCTCCCCGCCCCCCCCCACCCAGACCCGCCTGCCATCCCCCACACACTCCCCTTATTCCCAGCACAGCACCCCCACCAACACCAAGTCACCCACCCTCAGCAACCACTTGATCCAGGAGCTGGCGACCCCGGCGTACGCAGAACACCCACGATCTGGAGTTGGTCGCTTGCTGCAATGGGAGAAGCAAGCGGCAGTTTGGAGGGATGAGTTGAATGTGTCACCATCTTACAAGCCTTTGGAGAAGCTCGGCATGGTTGTGGAAGGGTTCGTCTCTCGCAATGAGCGTGTGGATTCCATTCTCAACTTGGTAGTGGCTGAGAAAATTCACGAGTTGCCTCACAAGAACAAGGCGGCAATCATGAGTGCCATCAGCAGAACTGTCGTCGACGTAAGCCAGAATCCAGATCGTAGAAAATTCACGACGGTGAGTGGTGTGCAACCTACCTTGACATGCAGCTCCTACTTGGTTCATCTTGGCCGAATGCGCATAGTGCTGCCGTGCGAGCACTTATTCTGGCAGGGTTACAACAAGGAAACTGTGTGCTTCCCCGACAAGAAGGTGTGCAGTGGCAAGGCCATCAGAACTTTGGCGGGAGAAGGGATGTTTCTTCCTAGCCTTGGGCTCATTGCCTGGAGCCTGTACTTGAACCAGCTGTTTCGAGTGGATTAAAACAGAGTCCAAGGTTTAAAGTCTAGAGTGTAGCCTCGAGTCCTAGAGTTGACATTCGACAATCCAAAGTCTAAGATCCTGGTACATTTCCGGAGTTTGGAATGGTTCTACATTGAGATGCTACATAATATATATATATATATATATATTATCTTATGAAATATTATCTTATATTATCTTATATTATATTATATTGTATATATATATATATATATAGATGAGATTGTATATATATATATATAGTATATGTATATGTACATATATGTATATGTATTCCTGACTGCTAGCTGCTTCTAGCTCAGCTGCTCCGTAGCCGTAGCTTCATTGCAGATTCTAGGTTGGGACAGTCCTTGTAGTGTAGTGTAGGGCTCAGGACTCGATACAGCAATCGACGTTGAAACGGGACAGCGCACTGCTGTCTATGTGCAGCATGCCTGCACTTACTAGTAACTAGTACTACTCACGAGGTAGTCAGCGATGCTACGACAGCGGGCCCCGGGTGTGAAGACAGCAGCGGCTTTATTCGAAGACATGTCCTGTGCCATAATAAGCCATAATAATGCTATAATCGTGCCATAATCGCAAGTGCATGATGGCTTATCTTATTGATGCTTAATGAACTTGGTGGAGGGTCGGGTAGGCCGCGCTGCTGCTGTTGTTCATTGCTCGGGACCATGCTGTTCTGCTGCTGTTCAATATGGCATATCACTTGGGGCCTGGAGGTTGGTGTAGTATATTCAACATTCATATGCCTCCAGCCTGCAATGCAATTTCAAAGCCTTAGGGCCAGGTGCCTCATTTCAGGTCCTGAGTGATACCGACGTTGGCAAGACAGCATGGCAGTCACTTGAGGTTATCACTGGACCTCATCTCTGAATCAGGCCGCCACGATACATGTGTCAATATGTCATTTGCTTAAGGGCGGGTATATTCCTGCGTCCAGAGTCCTCGGATCAGCAGTCGCTCCTGATCGGCTAGGTCCTGGTGAATTGTCCAGTATGTGTTTGCAGAAGTGGCAGGCTGTCGGCCAGAGTTGGGCCAAGTGCTGAGGGTTCCAGGTTCCTGCTGCTGCCGCAGCTGCTAGTGATGCTAGTGCTAGTGACTGCTGGCTAGTGTGGGCAGCGGCTAGCTACTAGTTACTAGAAGCTGGCTAGTTGCTGGCTGTTTTTTTCGAGGTTGCTGATTGTCAAAGCCATAGTGCTGTTGTCCCGCAATGCTGCATGTTTCCGTAGGGCCTAGATCCTTAGAACCAAGTCCACAGTTTGTTTTGTGCGGGAAGGGTGTGCATGCACTATGTCACTATGGGCATGGCAAGTACAGAAAGTTTTTTCTCGCAGATCTTTAGATGGATGAAATGATGCACGGCTTGGTATATGGAAGCTGCGACATCCACTTGGAGTTCTATGCTTCCCCATGGGACAGTGGCCGCCAGACGCGTCATTAGAATCACTAGATCTAATCAGGGTTCACAAATTGGAGAATGTGCAGGAGTTTAACATGATATTGAATGATGATTGTATAATGATAGTATAATGGTATAACGGGCTGTGAGCCTGGTTCAGACTTTCCATCAACTCCATAGCCGTGCCGTGCATGGGTGCTTTGGGCCATGCACTTGAGTTTAATTAGTTCCTTGGCCAGCAGACTTTGCAAGGTCTCCTAGAGTCCTAGAGTTGCCTATTAGTTGATCAAGGTTATGACGGTTGTGAGCTTGACAGAAAATATTGTGTTGCAGGACGACACATGTCTAGTCTAGTCACTGGCTGCTTGTCTTCAAAGTCTGATGGATGCTGATAGCCGGTAGCCAGATGCCAGCATGACAGTCACATTCATTGTTATCGGATAATATCGACCATCTTGTAGTCATAGGCCTCGTCAAATGGTGATGTTTTGCTCCTACATTGTAGGGACTCTACGGTTGCTCCAAATAGGCCAAATAGGCATATTGATATGGTGTGCAAGGGCTCGTGCCATGCCATGTGCACATGTGTGTGTGTGTGTGTGTGTGTGTGTGCATGTGTGTCGTGTGGCAAGTGCCGCAGAACTTTGGCCAAGTTTCAATTCTGGCTGCTGGCTGGCATGAAGACTCCGTAGATGTCGGAGTCGTACAGCTACAGTAGTTTGACTTGTGGTGTTCATCGCTAGGGCCTGGGTGCGATGCTGAGCTAAGATTGGAACCGAGAGGAATGCTGTCATCAACTCGTTAATCATAAGCATGAACTCATTAACGGTCAATACTGATCAATGGATGGTGACGAGTCCTTTTTGTTTCGCATGCCTCGCCAACGTATCACCACAAGTGCCCAATGACCTCTTGTACTTCTTCAGCGACAACATCGACATGACGACCTTGCTGCCATGGCCGCCAAATGCGATTACATTATAGTTGTTTCGTGTGTAGCAAGTGATTCGAGCTGTTACTCTGACTGAGTTGCTTAGCGACTGTTAGCTGCTAGCTAAGACAAGGTAGCTTTGGAGGTCCTGATGGTGTGGACAGTGTGCGAGGCTTCACAACATGTCAGTGTCGTTTGTCCTGAAGACTGGATGAGACCATGTTCATTGTTCACAGGAGCAACCGCGGACAGTTCTAAAAGAATCCTGAGATCGCCCGGCCATCGTTGCAAGTTGTAAGTGCTGTCCTTTCGGGGCAGGGCTCCGAATCTTCAGTGCTGATTTCGAGTGTCCGCCGGTGAATGTAAGATTTCGAACTCTTTTCAGACTTGTTGACCTGTTGCTTCCTTTGCCTGCAGCTTCCACGTGGGAAGTCATGGCCGTCTTGTCGAAAGCAACCGGAACACCCAAGAAAGCTGCTGCGAAGCCAGCTGCGAAGACTGCTGCGGCCGCGAAGGCCGCTGTGGTCCCGAAGACTCCGCCTCCGAAGAAGCGGCAGGACACGGGAAACTTTGCCTGTTACTGCTCGTTTGTCCAGGTTCTTGATCCGCTATCCTGTCTGGACTTTTTTGTTATATGGTGGATGAGACTCAGGTGATACATTAGACCCAGGGCTTAGAATCTTTCGAAAATAAGCTTTTTAGACTCTGGATTTTCGCAAGGCATAGGTCATAGGTAGGTTTTTCAGTGTTTAGAAGAGTTCGTGATTCAGGGTTTCGATATTCGATCTCATGGTGCTCTCGTTGTGTTGTTTGAGGGTGACTCTCTTCGGGGCTTCCCTCCAGGTTTAGGCTTGAATTCCCCAGGTTCTGGAGTTCAGTCTGGTGCTTACTAGGGAATGGAGGAATGGGTTATTATAGGGCATATCGGGACTAGTATAAGGGATCTTACGGACTATTCACGATCTTAGGGACTGGACTATTCGCGATTAAGGGGATCCATTCCCCCATTCCCTACTAAGCACCACAAGGGATGCGGGCCTAGGCCAAAATATGACGTCATGGACCCGAAATCGTAGCAGCTACCTAGTAACAACCTGGCTTGAATGTGTTGCAATACAATGAAAGGGAGTTCCAAGCAATAATATTGAAACCTAAATAATTACCTGTATTATGATTATTATAGTTATAGTATAATGGGCCCCGCAACCCTATTCTAAATAGAGGTCCCCTGCATTAGGCGGAACCAGCTGGAATCCCTTAAACCTTAAGCCTTAAACGGTGCTTTAATGGCCTTAATGCAAGGACCTCAAAGAAACAAAGATGTTGTTCCCGGGCAGAATGAACCAAGTCTTTAGTCTCACACCAAAGTCCCAGCTATGACAGCTATGATTGCAGCAGGATGCGCCGGCGGTTTCGAGCCCCGCTCGCAAAAAGCCCAGGGGTGGTGATCAGGATGCGGCCTCGGATGAGATCAACAGGCTCTTGGGGAACGCGAGCGGGTGGCAGCTCATGAGCTTGGACGAGCCCGAGCAGAACCACTTGACAAATGAGGAGGCCACTTCTTCTCGGGCCGCGCGAGTGGCTTTGAGAAAGGACACTCAGGCGAAGCAGAAGGAGAAGAAGTATGCTCGATGCTTCCTGTGCGGGTGTTTGCCGGAGGATCTGGAGGATTGCTTGTGCTTGACAGCCGTGCTTTGCAACTGGAGGGAAATCATGACTTCGGTTGCAAGACTGTCTCAGTGCATGTGGTACATGAATATTCGTTTATGTTTCTGTCATGTTGGTTGGTGTCTCCAGTCTGGAATCATCTAGAGTCTAGAGTCCGGAGTGTCCAGAGTCGAGGGTGTCTGGGCAGAGTCGGTGCATGGGACGGGCTTTTGCCAGTCTGAGCAGATTGCCAGGCAAAAAAACATGAGACAGGCAGAATTGTTCAGCAATTTTATACGTGATAAGCCTCGTGCCTGTGTGTGTGTGTGTGCGATACCATGTTTACTATGTTGCTATGTGGAGAAGATTGTAATTTTAATCTTGTCGTTTGTCATTTTCAACACTTAAGACTTAGGAAGTAGGTCCCAACACGAAACAACTTCAGCTTGGTACGGACAGCTTCATGTTGCGAGCCAAAAACCGCAGTAGGGCCGTGGAGTTTGCAGTTCTGCTCAGCAGCGGTTGATGAGGCTGAGGGTTTGCCGTGGTAGCGAGTAACAGTGAAGTGAGGATCATCGGCAGTAGTAAAGTACTTAGTAGACTTAGTACTTCAGTAGACTCAGTAGAAAGTCAGTGTGGTAAACAAGCTAAGGCAGCTAAGGGAACTCAATCCTAGAATCCCTAGAATCCGCCAGACAGGACGGGATGTGGGGCGAGTACGACAGCCGCCAGAATCCCGTGGGATGCTCATGTCGGGTGGACCTGACACTGGTGCGGCTGGGCTACCCCCAGAAAACACTTCAGGAGGCGCACGAGCTTTTCAATGGTAAGGGGCCGGAGAGTGTGGCCTTCCGAATCGAAGTGACCGCAGGGAGGGTCATTATCCGGGCCGCCATTGAAAAGGAGCTCATCCCGAAGCATCTCCCCTGCTCCTCTGTAGCGCTGGGCAAGGTTTACGAGGTCGAGACCTATTGGGAATTGGGGTTCCTCACGGAAAGTGAGATCGTCAAGCTTTGCGGC